GCAAAGCATCTTTTAACAGACTTTCCAAAACTTTTCCTACAACTGATGTAAGACTAATGGGTCTATAATTACTGGGACAATTTTTATCAACTCCCTTGAGAAGAGGAGTTATATTAGCTAACTTCTAAACCTCTGGTACCTGCCCACTATTCAAGGACTGACAAAAAATGTAGTAAGTGGCTCACATATCCAATCTTTGACCTCCTTCAAAACCCTTGGGGATATATTATCTGGCCCAGGAGCCTTATCGTTTTTAAACTTCCCAATTTTTTCTTAACCAGCTCAGAATTAATACAGTCATCTTGTTTGATCTCGTTTCATTTATCAACCATTGAAGATGTGGAATACTGCTTAAATCTTCATTAGTAAAAACTGACGAAAAAGCAAAATTTAATAACCCAGCCATCTCATAATCATCAGATACTAGCCTTCCTTTATCATCCATCAAGGGTTCTATCCCTATCCTAACATTTTGTGTCCCCTTAATGTATCTAAAGAAATCCTTTCTGTTAATTCTCATATTTTCAGCCAACTTTTTTTTCATTCATCGGTTTTGAATGCCTAATTTCCTGTTTCACCAACTTTCTAATGTCAGAACATTTAATATTTTAATATCTGATTATTAATGAAAGTTTTAATTATTGCATTGCAGCAGAGGTAAGTTCAGATGTGTTAAAAAACTTGAAAAAGTAATGTTTATTTTTTTTTAAATATTTATCCTTTGGATTAATGGTGAATATTGGCACATTTATAAAATGTGAAATATGTAAAAAAGGTATAACAAATTTTATAATGAATTAAATGATGAAAGTGTTGTCTTTTTTATTTATTCTTATTCACGTAATGAATTTTATTTATAGAAAACAACAAACAACTTGAGGAGTGGAATAACTGCTTCCAAAGAAATCATAATATAGTTATTCCACTAGTAGTACAAAATCAAGTGCCTGATGGGTTTGAAACAGATGAAAAGGTGGATGTTTCACTTAGACCAGATGAATCCTCTCTTGAAGATTATGAAAGGGTTCCTGTAGAAGAATATGGGCTGGCAGTTTTGCGTGGAATGGGATGGAAAAAGGGTGAACCAATTGGTGGGAAAAATAAACAGTAAGTATGTATTAGTACCTACACTAGCTATTCTGTACCTTACACATGCTTTTAGAAAATATTTTAATTATGTTCATTTTTTATGTCATAAAATTATTGATTCCATGCAGGTTGGGAAAATTCACTTGTGTGGCAACCTAATATAACATCAAATTACCATTTGGGAAATGAAACATAACAGTAAAGCACTACTGAATAATAGCTTTTTACCATTTCACACATTGATAGGTAGAGCTGGCTGATTAGTGGTATTTGCTTATTGATTAATTGATGAGCTCGCTAAGTGATTATGATTAATTAATTGATCAGTACATTCCCATTACAATATTGCCCTTGTACAAGGAAAAAAAAAGAGAGAGTTAACATTCTTTTCTTTAAATAGTTTTCAAGTTCTCTTTACTGAAGGTTGCCATTTGCACATTTTGCTAAAAAACTTTTTTTTTTTTTCACGAAAAGTATTTTGGGCCAAATTTTGTTAAAGATGATCTGGACATTTTGTACTTTGTGAATGTCTTGCTAATGTTGACTAAACACCACCATGAGGTGGCCATTATGCTTGGTTTTAAAATGTGTAGTAACCCCACATTGATCTTCTATAAATCAAATAATTTTATAAATAATTAAAACATGTTTTACTACCACTGAAAAGGGTATTAATGTTTTTATTTGGATTTATTGGAAATAATTAAGTAGCCAGTTAGCCAATTTATTTATGTATGTTGTTTAAATAGGATAAACATAAAAGTAGTATTCAAAAAAAGATTTGAATATTCAGAATATTTTGCAGTCATCTACTACACTCAATAAACAGTGAACTTAATGAAACTTACAGTATATCTATTAAAAAAAGTAAAAACACCATATTTAATCAAAGAAACAAAAATCAACAAAATGCCTTTATTAACTATTAAACAGTCTCTAAGTCATATCACTTCTTTGTTTCTTACTGTATGTGTATATATGTATATTTTTTTTTTCCTGTGTGTAGGTAAACTATGTGTATCTGATGATCATCAAGCCTTTCCAGACATTGTGCATACATTACTGTTAAACTTATGATAGTTTTTTCATTAACTATTAAACCTGTTTCTTGATTGTATAAGCTTACCTAATCTCAAGTTACCCTATGTCTTCTAATTGAAGAAAATTCCTGTAATTTTCAAATAAATATAATTTAACACAAATACTTTCACAATTCACAAAAAAACAGAAAAAATATTAGAGAAACTATAAAAAAATCTTAAAACTTATAAATTTACTACTACATGATAGTCTATTTCTTATTTTATACAGTCATATTTAAACTTTCTTTATAGTTGTTTTCAAAGATGTTTTTCATTAGTAAATGATCAAGCTGCTTAATGAGGTACCATAATGTGGTACCAAACAGCTTCTACAAAGACAAATAAGGGAAACACTTGAAAATCAAGGAATGGATAATATTCTCAAGCAGTGATAAATTTTTAGCAAAAATAGTTATTCTTTTCAATAGGCAGAAGAATTCTAAAATAAATCGATAAATGGACTGTTTTGTCTGGCGACATATCTCTTTGCAGCTGTGCATAAATGAAAATATGAAGTTTTTTATATCATGAATTATCTATATACTACTAAAACTCTGAGATTGTTTGTTTGTGTGCTTGTCTGTAATTACAGCAAAAATGGCACACAATATTGCCGTATTTGTAATGAAATCAGAATAGAAACAGAATAAAACAAGTTTCGTTAAAATTGGGCCACGGGTTACCAAGTTATCTCTGTTTTTTGGGTCACTTTTCGTACATTCCATTATTATAAAACTT